TGCGATATGCGTAATTCGAGCATACGGTCTGCAGTGGCATCGCGTCACCGATACTCTAACAATCTGGCCACATTTTTACCAATCGAGCCCCTTTTTCAAAACATCTGCGACAGGTTTTTCGAGAGGAAAATATGATGGGCCAATAATTTATCAGACAATGGTCTAATCACGGCCCATCCAGCATCATTACTGAGACGTGTAGAGGCATAGAAATACGCAGGGGTGTAGTGGGTAATCGGATTTAAAAAGGGTGTATTCAATAAAAAATATTAAAAAATCAAGAAGAGGAATGTTTTACGATAGAAAATATAATTTTTCTACGATCACTGTCCAAACTGTGCTTTTTCGCTTCGAAATGCAACCGCAAAGTTGACGTTTTCCGCTAACTGACATTAAGTGACAGCTTAGTCGTTCATGGAGTGGAAAACTTGACAGATTTGTTGCTCGCCTAATTTAAATTAGATATAATATAATATTTCTTTTTAATAAATGATTTTCAAGTTATTTGTACGTAGTTTGATGTTTTTTGTTTTATTATCCAAGTTAACATTGACCGTTTTTCATAATTAACGTAGATATAGGCCACACATTATTTTATTTTTTATTTTTTTATTTTATTTATTTACAGGCCTTGCTCACTTTCAGTACAAAGTTACAAATAATGATAAACTAATAAACTAAAAACAAAAACCATAAATATAATAACGTACAAAATCGAAACAACTAATATTAGGACTAAAGAATTTAAGTCACAGTAAGTTTTAACACCCTCACAAAATTAAAAAAGCTAGAATTAAAAAATCTGATGTGTCCAACACATGACTTTCCTATCTATACTCTGTTTTTAAACTAGGAGGAGCGAATTGAAAAGACGCATTTACACAGGGAAAAGTAACTAGATTTGTTACTAAAAGCGAGTTTCGAAATATAGTCGTGTTCAAAATTTATGAAATAATTATCTTTATCGGCCTTAGTCGGTGAACGGCCAATGAGCGGTTAAGAAACGAATAAATGTCAGAAGTAATTTTTTAATTGGTCCCAGACAACGGTCGCAAATTTCACATTATTGTGATCTGAAATGTGTGTCTAAAACGAAATGTCACTGTCAAATTAAAGTCAATTAGGTTGTTGATTGATGTAAGAAATTCTTTTTTCTTGCTTTTGAAATCGACTTTTTGAGAATAACTATGATCTTTTTAAAATGGATATTAAATATTTAAGAAAATTGTTAATGGAATATCCAGATGTAGCCAGGTTAGTATAAAATATAAAGATCTGTTTACATTTTTAAGGATATATTTGTTATAGGTATAAAAAGTAAAAGTTAATCAGTGAATGACAAGTGGATCACACAGTAAGTGGTGCCTCTTCTATGAGTAATGTGGATATTATGGCTTATTTAGTGTTAATCCATGGTTAATGCGCTAGAGGGCAAATAAAGGGATTCAAAAGTTTACAGGCCTATGAGTCAAAATTTGTTTTGAAAACTGGAACCAACATTTTCATAACACTACATGCCAACATATATTTTTTAAAGTGAACTATTCATATATACCTATGTATTAATTTTAAGTATTTTTAAAATATTTTTTGTGAAAGTAATGTTAACTCATTGTGCCAAATTAAGATTATCCCTAAAGTAGTAGATGGTGCTTTAAATGTTATAACAATTTTGTAAATAGTTTTATTCTATTCTAATAAATAAAATTTGCTTGAATATTTAGTTACATTTTAATCATTTTGGTTAGAAATTCATCAATTTTTAGTTTTAAAAAATCAGTAATAAAATAATTTTTTCTAAAATACTTCGAAATTCATCTCTTCATGGTAATCTCCCATTTTTTTACCTTCAAAAACCAATAATGCATTTTCTACAATACCTTTAGAATCAGCATGTAAAATAATAAGGTGTCTTCCCTTTCTTGTAAGGCTTTTCAGGAATTGCTACCTTTAATAGTACTCATTGTAGAAGGATCCATAATTGTAGATTTTCATACAATTGCTTACTGAAGAACTATTATTTACGAAATAAAGTAAAAAACTAAGTAATGGATGAGATATCAAATCATAAAATGTCAGAACTGTCAACAATATCAATTATTAGCTGATGTTCATGCTAAAAAGTAATGTGTGAAACTGACTGTAATCTCACCAATCAGAAGGCTACAGAATTGCCAACTTAAATTCAAATCGCTCCTCTTAGTTTAAAAACAGAGTATAGTTATTATAGGCTTTTTCCGGTTATTTTGTACAACCTATTGCAGCATCTCTATAAATGTTTAGAGGATAAAATAAATATATACATTGTCCACATACATCTACCTCGAAACATTTTTCTATAGATATTCAAAAATTTAAATTTCCTACAATTTTTTCATTACGGTCCATTTTAGAAAAATCATGTGTAAACAAAAATTATAGAGATCGATATCGCAAACAACTTTTATTTCAAAAACTTTCATGCACATTTTGTCAAATTTCTCGAATACGGACCATTTCAGGAAATTTTTACATAAACCAAAATTATAGATAATAATATTAGAAGTAACTTTTATTTGAACAATTTTTTTCTCCAAACATTAATAACAGATATATTCCATAAAATATAAAAGTGGCCTCCCATAAAGTACCCCCCAGATGTTCCGACTATGTCCAAAATCCAAACTTTTCACGTCAGGCCGAAATAAACCTTAAGTTTAAAATTTAATGTTTTTTTCTTTATCCGTTTTTGAGTTTTCTTCAAAATTCGAAATTTACACATTTTCTCCAAATATCTCGAATACGGTCCATTTTAGAGAAATTATGTATAGAATAAAAATTATAGAAAATTATAGTGCAAACAACTTTTATTTAAACAATTTTTATAAAAAATTATTTTTTTTACATTTTGTCAAATTTCTCAAATACGGACCATTTTAGGAAAATTTTGCATAAAACAAAAATTATAGATAATTATATTAGAAGTAACTTTTATTTGAAAAATTTTCTTCTCCAAACGTAAATAACAGATATATTCCATAAAAAATTGGGCAGTACAAGAACCAATAATTGGAACAATCTTTTGGGGTAAAACAGGCTTAGATACTTCTGAGTGAGTATTACCAGAGAAGAACAGGTTTACGAATTTTAACATGCAATATAACAGGCGTATGACGGACATCTCAGTAAACTGAGAGTAGTAGAAGATGGTAAGTGCAGATTCTATAAGGAAGAGAATGAAATCTTCATGCACCTTCTGACTGAATGTGTAGCATTCAGAAGCCAACGGCACTATACTTAGAACCTTAGAAAATAAAAAACGGCGATCTACCTAACTTAAAGTCACTTTAATTTCTAAACTTTCTTGAAAAGATAGAATTGAAAGGGGAATTATAGGCATTGGGTCTATTCTCTTCCTGCATTAGCGACAGAAGGAGGCACAATATACTTTTTAAGTCGTGGTGTATTAACACCCCATACCTAATATAATATGCGGTATCAAAGATTCTTAGAAAAGTTATTAATAAGAAATAAAAAATACATTTAATTATCAATAATCTTTTTTCTTTTCATGAGTTCTAATTAAAGCTGATATTAGTTGTGCAACATCCTTGGCTGCTATCATTGATAATATAATTATTTCTTCTTTCGACAAAAATGTTATCCTTATTTTAATTAACTACTCTAGAGACTTGCATACTATAAATCTCCTTATTCTATTAGTTATCTTACATGCTGTAAAGTTATGTGCTTCTGCAATTAGATTTGTATCATCTTATCTCATTAATCATACTCAACACGGTAAACTTGTTTAAAAATTATCCAATATCGAAGAGGTAAAACAAGGAGTTCCTCAAGGCAGTGTAATAGAACCACTTTCATATTTCATTTATACTTCAAATTTTCGTACATAATTTAAAATAATAAAAAAATATATATATTATTTTATTTAATTATCTTAAACCTTGTAGGTGTCCTTACATAAAAAACGATAGTTAAGGGCGTACGCCCTTGAGCCCGAGGGCTCGCCACTTAGTTAGTCCGGTTATTCGATCCACCGCTAACGCTCGCGAGCCACCACCCCCCTGCCCCTGTATAAATAATTAGAATGATAATGGATGGATAAAAAGAGTGTGCCAAACAAGAAAGCGACGGGGTAGAACACCCCTTAGCGAACACTTCGGACTGTCAGAGGGTGGATCTGATAAATTTGTTTCGCGGTACGGCCTGTATATAGCGGGTAGTGGCCGCTGGTCTTCGAGACCAAAGTGGCAGGTTGTTTGGGATACAGCGGGGGGTGATTTTGGGACAGAAGTTTTGCTTGTAATGTTCATTGTGTAAGGGAGGGGAAATGGCTAGGCTATTCACAATTTTATTACTTGGTTTTCTACAACAATTGACTAATTAAGATTATTATTGGTGTCATTTATTTTTGTAATAAAAATATTTTAATCATTTTTTTTTATTTCTCACTCAATTTAAATTGATTTCTTTTAGTGGGCAATTTTTTATAAGAAATAATAGGAATATTGCAGATGTTCTACTTTCTTTGTCATTTCATACCCGAAAAAGGGCTAAAAGCGCTGGCAAGCAGCTAATTATTATTTTTTGAAATCAAATAAAATTTTAGTGGTTGGCAGACTTTGTGCTTGTATTTTTATTTGTAATTTACTTGGGACCACTTTCAGACTAGAATATTTGATACAGTTATTATAACAAAATTGTTTTGTGGATTACTACAATAATTATGCAGTTGCCACAGGTTCCACCAAACTTTAGTGGCAACAAAACTGTGTTCTTCTCCCGCTTTGTAGGAGAATCGTAAAGATTTAAAAACCTAGTTTTTATTGGCGAATCTAAAAGTGGCGCAGTCAGTAGATGTGATTGGTCCAAATAAATTTAGACACCAGATGGCGCAATTTTCTTGCGAATATTTTAACTTTCTGCGGTAACTGCATAAAGTTGAAATTATTTTATAGTGTTATCTCTCTCGATTCGTAAATCTCACTTTGTTTATCGAGGATAATCTTAGAATTTTTTAGGTTATTTCTTTTGTTGGAAACTTGCATCGTGCTCATCAATAATTAAAAAGTGCTCTTATCCAAATTATCCAATCCAAACGTTTAGTTTTTATTTTTTTATACCCATATACTTTTTGAATTATTTTTTACCATCATGGATGAAGAATATGGTTATTTTGAGGTAAAATAAACACTACGTGTATGTATATTTATAATATTATTTACTATTTATTAGGTTACAATAGGTGAAGAGTGTGGTAGCGTTAATGGGTATGAACATAATAATCGTAATACTGAGACTGAGGATTTTGCCCATGAAAGTGATTTTAATGGGGCTGATTTTCTTTCAAACAGATTTGTAAAGTAAATTGTGTTCATATGGGCTAATAAATATTATAATATTTTTTATATATCTTTACAATTTAAACTATACATGTTACAGTGCAGCTGTGAACCAAAGAGACTCAACAATTGAGGAATTATTGATCTCTTTTGTTGAAAGCAATCCTCCATTATGGAACCATAGAATTCCTCTGATGGAGAGAACGAAAACGATAAAAGAGAGATTATGGGTTGAAATTCAAATTGAATTTGGGGATACAGATCTGTCACTGGCTGTATTACAGAAAAAATGGAAGAACCTGAGAGACACATATATAAAAACAAAGGCCGAAGTTGAGGTTTATGTCCCAACGGGAGCATCACAAAAGAAAAGAAAGAGAGTTTGTAAACATTACGAAAGTATGAAATTTTTAAGCGACTCAGTTGTACCAAGAAGGTGAGTTGTAAATATAATCTTAATTTTAGATGTTATTGAATTATGTACATTTTTGAGTTATATATATTTTTTTAGCACAATAAGCAGCTTTGGTAATAATTTAAAATCGCCCAGCTGTCCAGAGGAGGTTCAGGGAAATTTAAATAGCTTTTCTATACCTATAAGTAAATATATTTTACATTTATTTTATAGAATAGTTATTTGACACATACTTTTTACGGGCTATTGAGAAGGTCACGGAATCAAAAATTAATGAAGCGGCAGTTAATCCAATATGCGTACGGCTATCAGAAATGATGGCCAAGATGCCTGGTCGAGAGAGGGCTTTATTGAAAATGAAGCTTCTGCACACAGCTTTCGAAGCATGCCAAGACTATCTTTAATTTTTTTTAGGGTGTGTAATAGAAAAAAAAAATAAAATTAATTTCAATGTTTATATATTTTATTTATTCCACTGAAACAAAACTGCTCCCCCTGTATAAAAATAAATTGATCAATTTTCTCTAATTTCTTCCACTATTTTTTTATATGTATTTGTACTTGTTTTATTAATGTTTTTTAAATTCGACATTTCCATTTCAGACCGCCATTCTCCATTTGTAACATTTCCAATGGTATCTTCACGGTTTGTTAACATGGAAGGGCAATATTTTTCACACCTGTCAGACATTATCCAATTGTGAAGTACCACCACAGCTCCTACAACACACTTCACTGTATCCAAGGATGCAATTATTGTCTTACGTAAAATGCGCCATCTGGATGCAAGTATGCCAAAGGCATTTTCACTGACTCTGCGACCTCTACTCAGCCTATAAAAAAAATTATTAGTACCAGAATGCTAACAAAAATATTAATTCAATACCTATAGGGTAAGTCCGGTAGAGATGCCAACCTTTTTTAAATGTTTTAATAAAAAAATTATTTTTCGTTATATTTATTTAAATTTATTAATGTTAACACCAAACAACATAACTAAAAGATACATTAGCGTAAAAAATGATAATTCTTATAGAAAAAGGTACATTTTAAATTAAAAAAATAATTCAGTTTGGCATCTCTCCCATATTGTCTGGGTGAGATGCCCATATGTGGCGGTACATATGCCAATGCTTATAACTGTCTACTTTTTTATAGTTAACAGCTTTCCACATCGCTGGCAAATGTTCCTGAATCCAGTGCATCCCTCATGCAATCACCGGTTACAATGGATGCACTGGATCCAATTGTCGTTTTTCTTAGTTAGACCCCACGGCTCTCCACAGCCCACTCATTCGTCACCTTTATCTTGACCAAAAGAAGAATTACTCTCGTGTGTTGAAAAGTCATCTGAGGTGTCACTTGAATTACTCTCCCTTCTATTTTTGTTTTTCCTAACTATCACCTTTGTTTTGGAATTGATACCAGAAGGGCCTGCTTCATTTTCTGAAATAGAAATCTTTGCTTTCTTTACGGGCTTGTTTCCTTTATTGTTGCTTGCCTCTGCTTTCTTCTTTCTGCTTGTTTCAAGTTTCTTAACTCTTTCTAAATTTTCAGGTGATGTCAGAAGTTGAGCCTCCTCTACCTTTAACATTGCTGATAGCTTCAGATAATGGCGCTACAATGTTAAGCAGCTTTCCTGGCGTATTATTATCTTGAGTATTGCTTTCACCAGTTTGATCTGTTGAACTAGGATGTGACTCATCAGTGGCTGAAGTTGTAGCAACATTTGACGCTGCTTCCTGTTCGTTTTCCATACGATTAGCTTGACTTTCAGTCTTTAATTGGGTAAATGCATAATCTGATATTTGGCTCGGATCAAAAGGATAGATTCCTGTAGATCGGAAAGCAGATACCGCATTATGTACAGACGCCGCTTTTCCCCATGCCTCGTTTAAAAGTTTGCCGAAATTGAGCCTGGTAAGTCTCCTATCTTTACTTGCTTTGACAAAAGAATAGCAGGATTGGTAATAAGCCGATTTTAGAGATTTGAAGACGACTCTGTCTAAAGGCTGAAGATAGTGTGTGGTGTGAGGTGGCAAGCAAAGCAGAATTATGTCATTCTCTTCTGCAAATGTCAATACATCTATTGCGTTTGTATGTGAAGTATGACCGTCTAAAATCAAGAGACATTTTCCTTGAGACTTTCTAGGTAAAAAATGCTCATTTAGCCAACGATGAAACAATTCTGCGTTTATGTAAGCCGACTTTTTTGACATGTAAACAACGGATCCTGGTGGCATATCATTTATAAATTCAGGTTTCTTATTAACACCTTTAAATATGCAGGCGGGAGGTAAAAAGAAACCTTCTGCATTGCACATTGCAGCAAGACACAACTGTTATAGTTTCACCTTTTTCTTGAGGCGTCGGGGTTGTTACAACCTTGGAACCTTTTTCAGCTATAACCTACATTGTAAATAGAACCTGGTTTATCGAATAAATCATTTTTTTGCAATACTTGATACAATAAATTAAAATAATTCTTTACAGCCACCTTTGTCATTCCCAACATTCTACTTCTTAATAATCCCTCCGCTTTTCTTATTGACAGTTCCGGATTTCTTCTTAAAAATGACTTTAGCCAGTCATACCCCGCTTTTTCTTCTTCTTTGTTAAATTTTTGTTTTATTTGTAACCTTTCAGCTAGTTTAAACGCCATTTCCCTCACATCATCCATAGTAGGAGAAAAACCAAAGCTTCTTTATATGAGCTACCATTTTCTTTTTGGCTTCGTCACCAAGAGTGCTCGCAGGACCCATTCTTCCTTTAATTACATAATTATTTTCAATCCTGCTGCAACTGCCAACTCATAGTCGACCTCTAACTAATTTCCACGGGTGGCAGATTTTCTTTTGTAAAAAAATTTGCAAAAATAATATTGGCATCTCTACCGAATATGTTTAGGCATCTCTACCGTTTATAAGGTAGAGATGCCACATTTTCCAAGAAAATTGTTTTTTAGTTGCCGCTAGCCAAACGTACTTCAATATAACCTCAAATAGTATACTTTTAATAAACATAATCGATTTGCAAATAATCCCAATAAATTATGGTATACTTATAGTCTGACCATTATGTCGATAAAATTTTCGATGCACTCAAAACTTTAAAATTAATATAACTTACCGTTAATTAGTGATGTTCACTTTTTTCGCTATGCACGTTACTAGCGTACCGCTCTAGTCAACAACAGAACACAGACTAATTTATTCTATCAGCACACAATCGGGTTCTAAGAAAACGGCATCTCTACCACTATGGCATCTCTACCGGACTCACCCTAATTAAATATTCTTTTATATTGGGGTAAAAAAGTTCCAGCATAAGGTCGCATTAAATGTTCATTTAATGGAAATGCTAAATCGTCCACAGCATAGTATGGTATTGGCATACCACCTAATTCTATGGCTTTAGGTTCAGGCAATTTTAGCTCGTTATTTAATAAGCGTCTTCCAATATCAGAGCTACGAAATATTCCACCATCACTCTGTCGACCTTGAGCCCCAATGTCTATAGCAATAAATTTATATTGTGCATCACACAAAGCCATTAACACAATACTCTGAGTCTTTTTAAAATTAAAATACTCTGATCCTGATTTTGGAGGAGCCCAAAAATTACGCATTAAACATCATTCTATTGGTTTCAATATTTTCCAAATTACCTGTATTACTATATGTTCTAAATTGATTTACAAGTTTCATTTATTATATTTTTTTTTTTTTTTCGATTTATGGCCTAGGTGTATATACCTAATATGCCAGTCTCAAATTTGTGTTTACATTCTCAATCATGTGTGTTCTGTGTAGGCTTTGTTACTGTTTCCCAGCGCCACTTTAGGAACAGCACTGTTAATTAGAACCCAACAGTGAATGGTCGAGTGGGGAATCCTACCAAGGCATCAGAATTAATTTTAAATAATTAAATTAAATGAAAAAATTCCGGCCAACGGTGGGATTCGAACCTGGGACCCTTGGATCCACAGGCACAGGCTCTAACCACTGAGCCACCCACCCCCCGATTTATTATATTTGAAATAGTTGTTTTTCCTAAACGAAAAGCATATGAAAAGGAGATCATGCTATCACTGGATGCTAGGTATCTATAATTTATTTGTATAAATATTCCAATAGCAAAACAACAAATTTAGTAGGTACCTTAAAGTGACTGAAAGTCTTTGTGCTGCACTGATAGGCTCTCGCTTAATATGCAGTCTTTCAATTTGGGGTCCTATACTAATCTCAACAGATCTTCAAATTGTTAGGGAGAAATTCTTAAATAATTAAAAAAATTATCTGTATCAGTTAAGCACATTTCTTTAAGGACATTATGAAACGCGCCTTGTTTTTTCTGTTTAAAAAAATCTGTCTAGTTCACCAACGTCATGGTTGCTTCTTTTTCTTCAAATTATTTTTATTATTTACATATAGCAAATCTAGCAAACAAACTATTTTACCTTCTGGAATCATTTTTTAATTAAATATTCAAACAAAACAAATCTCAATAAAAAGTAAATACCGACGACAAATAAGACAACGAAACGTCAAGTGTCATGTTAACGTCTATATTCTTCTTTTTTAGTGGTATTTTAGGTTAAATTTTACGCGAAATTCGCCATTATGAGAACTGTAATTATTTACTGGCGAATCTTTGGTCACGTGTAAAATTTCGCAATCCGCATTCCGCTCTTCTGACTAGTACTCAGAAGAGCTTTAAAGTAAGAAATTTGAAAATACTTTTGCACTCGTACGACAAAGTACGAGTGAAATTAAATGTCAAGAAGTTACCATTATCATTATATTAATGTTATTATAGAATAATCCATTTCTGACATCATCCCTTGACAGTCAAACAAATGTTAAGCAGTTGGCAATGGAGATAATTCATCCGCATAAACTATCGATACACAACATAAACTTTGAATTCTTTGGTACAATGACCCAAAAGGGTGTTAATACCACAAGCCATTGTAAAATCTACAAAGGGGTAAATGGCCCATGTCTATAGTATTAACAGCAGCGC